CTATTGTGCTCGAGATATAACCGTGTGAGACATCAATCTCCCGAGTCCTCTCGGGATGAATCCTGTCAACTCATTGCTATCTAAGCATAACCTCTCCAAGTTGCTCAAGTTTCCAATTCCACTAGGAATATCCCCTTTAAGTTTACATCCAAATGCCCCCAAAAATACAAGAGAAGTAGAGAGATTCCCCAATGACACTGGGAGGATGCCATTTAATAGATTGAGTGACAATTCCAACAACATCAAGTATTTGCAATTTGTTAAAGAACAGAAAAATCTCAATTCTGGAGTGGAGGATTCCTTTGCCAGATTATTTTCCCCTAGAAGATAGGAAAGGAGCTTTAAATTACCAAGATTAGGAATAACTCTGGTGAGTGAGTTGCCATTCAGGCCTAGGATGGTAACCTTTGAAGCATTCGAGATGGAGCTTGGGATTATTCTAGCCAGCTTGTTGTGATGGAGCACAAGTCCTTCGAGATTAGGAAGCCATAGCCCCATGCTGAATGGAAGATAACCAAAGAATTCATTGTTACTCAGGGCCAGCCATTTAAGAGTTGAACTATTGACTATTTTAGTTGGAATAAGGTTAGTGAAGCTGTTCTCATGGATGACAAAACGCTCTAGATTAAGATTACCAATCCCATCAGGTAATTCACCTACCAGAATATGAACACCCTTGCATTAGTCACTCTTTAGCATGCCTGTAACAAGGATAAAATTTTGTTTCTGGAGAATAACATTTCACATGAAGGATATTCTCACTCGATTATACACGACGAATCATATGCACAACCTAGACAGGGATGAATAGGTTTATCAAAATTAAGACATGGACAACCACCAATTTAAAACTTAATCCATCACAAGTATCAATCACAAACAACTCACCATGTGAATGAACACAATGATATGTCAATTAATTAATCATCAACCCAATTCACATCAATAATGATCCCTCCAACAAATCCAATTCTCACAATACCAAATATGATGACTATTGAAGTTAGATAATTCAATATGAGAAATTTCTTGTGTGCAATTGCAAGTGTGTGTAAGTGTGCAAAATCAAGCAAAAAGGAGAATCAACAACACAAGCAATTTATTGACGTGGAGCCCTACTCGAGAAAAACTGAGGAATTGATACCTACTTCACCTAAACTATTCCAAAATCAATTTATAAGTATTCGAGTCTTATACTTCAACCAGTGCCCATGATTAGATGTTCCTTTCAATTGTAAATCTCTCCTCCAAATTCGCCCATCAAAGTTTTTAGTAGCTTCAATTGGACGCGCTCACCGCAAGGAATGTCTAGGCCTCGAGCAATCTTCTCCCCTAAAATCCTTGATATGCACAACTAAATTGGGTTTTGTAAAACTACAAGCAAGATCTCCTTCATCAATGTGTGAGGTTAAATTAGAATAATCAAGTTGATTTTGACCTTTCTGGATTTAGGGATTTAGGGTTGACCTTGACTCTCTTGATGTTGTAGAGATTTAGGGATTTAGGGCCCCCACTCACCTAGGACCCCATTTGCATAGATCTGCAAATACTAGACACGGCTTGTGAAACCGACGCGAACCCGATACAGATTTAGCAGGTTTTGGTGTAGTCCTAACGGGTTCGGGTGGTTAACGGGTTAACTCGGCAGACTCGTGAAATAAACGAACCAGTTTCGTATTTAACCCATAAACTCATTTCAACCCATTTAACCTGTTAATAGTGGTACAATAAATTTTTAAAAAACAAGTTAGGTCTCTCAGCCTCTGTCTCATCTCACATCTTCCATTTCCCAGAATCATTCAAATTTAGTAGTCATTTAATGTTTATTTTTTGTCTTTATTTTTTTGCACAGTCATGATTTGTTGTTATAGTAAACAGGTCAAACATGTGTAATGTGTGATGAGTTAATGATTTGTCATGTGGACTCAAAATTATCTTACATATTCTTTTATTTAGCGAGTGACACACGGGTTGTATCGGGTAACCCGTCTAATAAACAATTCGTGTATGAGTATGATAGTTGGACTCATTTATATAAATGAATAGGGTATGGATAGAGGGTTTTTTAACACAAACCCGTTCCACTCAATACAATTGTCAGGCTTACATTCGCTTCTCTTAAAATAATATGATTAAATTAAAAAAATTAGGATATTACGTCAAACGATCAAAATTTTGAAAAAAATTCTTTAAATCATAAATATATGTACATTCAAAAAGAAAAAAAAATAATCTCACCATATTCTTGTACAAAGAATTATAAGACTATGCTCTATCATTTTTTTTGAACTCTCAATAACTTTGACCTATTTATTCAGTTTAATTTTCTTGGATTATAATTTTTGAGATAATTTTGATCTTAATATAATTATTCACATCCTATATTTGTTTTGTAAGTTGTTTTCAACCTTAAATATACCTACTAAAAGATATGAATTTAAATATTTAAAATTAAAAAAAAATAATCAAATTATTCATTTAAAAATATTTCATGGCCCTATCTCAATTTTTGCCTAGGGTCTAAAGTATTTTTGGGTTGGCCCTACTGGGGACTTCTCGAGCCGTCTATAGGATGCTCGAGCGACTTGCAAACGACTAGAAGATGATCATTACCACCCAACTTGTCATACTTCTCTAATTTTTTTCTACTTATTTAGAGGCTATTCAAGCCGAAGGCAAGCAAGTAGAGGATGGTGCCAAATAGTGTTTAAGCTAGAAACTAAGAAAAAACTTGACCTATTGAGCACAAAAGCAAGCTTTAGGGACTAAATTAACAAAATTGATACAATTTTTTTTAACTCTGAAATACTTCATATCTTTTACTAAACCCCATATTACCTCTCCCAAAGTTTCTCGACCTTCCGGATTCAATGGACGCCTTATTTTGACCTAAAAATATTTAGAAACTTATCTAATCACCCTTCTCAAGCTTAAACACCTTCGAAACTATGTTTGACCCAAAAGTCAATTCGTCTAAAACTCAAACTTCATGATCAATCTTTTAACAACAATTCAAGGTTTCTACAATCCTTTTATTCATCCTAGGATAAATATTAATATGATATTATTCTTATTTAATTCTAGAACAATGTATTACAATCCACCCCCTAAAAGAAAGTTTCATCCTCAAAACTTAATCGTCGAGTTAGTCTATCTAATTATTCTTTGGTCATGATGTCTCCACTTCTAGTCATCCTTTAAGCATCAATTCCAAGATCCAAATAGATTTCTCATATTCTAAAATTTAGATTCATCCCTTAAACTTCTACCATCCTTGCAATTATTAGAAATCCCCAAGATTACCTTCATTCAACAGCATTCATTTATCACCTCCATTCTTAATTGTTGTTGCCTATCTTTTATCCTCAATAATTCCATGAGATTGTCTAAACTAAAACATATCATACATAACTACTAGATCTTCAACTTATTTTCTATTCATTAGATATCACTTCTCTTTTCAATTTACCAATCATTTAAAAAAAAAATTTGGTTCTCTTTTTACATGTAGCTTATCCATAAGCATTTCACAACAACCAAATTAAATTTCGCTAATGGGATAACTCATTGTTCCTATAGTTAAATTATGTTATAATAAAAAACTTAGTAATGGCATTACAGTAAGATCTACAAATATTCCTTAAATAGATGCATCATTTTTAATGACTTTGTCTCACACTAGACTAGAGAAACTCATAATATTAAAAATTTAATATTAACTTCACATCCTATGAACACTTATCAATTTATGTGGTTCAATGGACACCTCAAAATTCCCAACAATTATTAACATCAAACTATACACCAAGTTTTCCAAGGGATTGAATCTTAGTTTTCAAACTTACACTCATTACATTCACCACTATAACCATAACTAATGGTGAATTCCACTAATATGAAATCTAATCAAATGGTTTGCTGCACACTCTGATATAAATTATAATCCAATAATCATTAAGTAAAAGTTAGCGTCAAGGGAAGAATTCTCATAGTTTCATCGGGTTTTGTGAAGATATGTCTTGTTTCACCATATATGTTATTTGATTATAACTTCCAAAATGTGTTCACTAATGATCCATATTTCTTCTCTAAAGGAAATTTTAGCAAATAACCTAATATAATACTTGGGCTATGGGTCTAGTTATAGCTCTAAAATATTATTTTTAGTCGTCAATCTTGCGCTCAAATCAATAAGGCTTAAAATCTTATTCATAACTCATATACATTCAAATTCATGATGTTAGATCAATCTTAATATTTTCATATTATTCACCAATTCGATTAACACTAATCATTTTCTCTATCTCCTAAATATTCCTTCTCAATATCTAGCATTCAAATAGAATCAATAACCCATGTAATCAATCCTCAACAGCTTTCAAACCTTTTCCCATCTATTCGTTACATATAATCTTGAATTCCCGTGATTCAATCCAGAATAAATCTATTTCTGATTTATAAGATAAAGATAGACTTTGAAGGATCACAATAATCTCCCTCAATTCAATAGCCAAAAACAAGACTCTCGATGATTAAACCAATGTTCCTATATCCATGTCAAGTATAACTCATCACACCCATCTTAATAATGTACTAAAAGAAACAAAAAAAAGAACTACATATTCTCCCAACACAACTCCAATAATATTAAAAGATCCCACATAACTATAGAAGTTAACTCTAAACATTGAAATCATCGTTATTTCAATAATTGTCTACTATATTTGACCTCGAGCTTTTAAACCTAGACAATCTTTAATCCTACAATATCGAGGGTCAAAGATAACTACTACAACTTAATTAGGCTTCCTAGATTTTCCCTTTTATATGTCTATAGGTTTGTTTCCATAAATTGACCTCGATTTCTAATCAAGATTTGCAATACAACTCAATTATTAACTCAACACTCAACCAAGATATTCTCGATTGTTAATACTTTAAAGAGTCTAAGTGTAGTGAACTAAGCCCACAATGAAATACGATTACCTAAGTATAATGTCCTCAATGAGTATCCTATGTATGATGCTTTTAAACCATTAATACTTCTAAAATAAATTTAATCAATACTTCATAATATTTTCAAACTAGTATTGGTAATACGTGGTTATGAAACAAACTTCTATCCATTTAAGAACTACCATCAAACTCACCCTAGAGGAAAATATAACACTCCCACGGTTCATATCGTAAAACAAAAACTACATTCATTCCTTAATTTCTATGAATTTTAAGTAACAACAAAACTTTACATAACCTTATTATTCAAAACTTAGTCTATCTTAAAAACATCTAAGTTGACCTTACCTCCACACATTCAAATTCGATAATCACATCTCCTTAACTTCCAAAAATATAAGCAACACTAATAATAGAATAGAATACTTAGAGTCGACAAAACACCAAATCATAGTCAAATTTTATATTTTTATCCATTAAAACACTTTCATCAACATGGGGGTATCTCTAAATTAAAGCCTAGATAGTGGTGGAATCTCAATTAAGGATAAGCCTTTCAGAGCCTAAGAAGAAAAGCACTGCACTTTTCTATCCAAGGAATAACAAAGTGCAAATATTTGATCAACTACGGAGAATAAATTGATTTAACTTAGTTATTTCTAGCACTTGTGAACTATATGGTGGGAAAGATAAATGAGTTAAGCTTCTAACAAAAAAAAAACAATACACAATTGGATTTTAAAATAAGAAGTTTTGGTCCAATTAGTGAAATGTAGTCTGCTTGACTAATAGTTCTACTATAGTTGTCCAACTAGAGTTTGGATGTATTTTGTCACAAATCCTATCCCATACTCACCTCCAATATAGATAATATCACTTGCATAAAGATCCATGTCTAGCATCATTTACTAACCAAAAGCCAAATTATCATCCGC